GTAGCCGTGAAATATATATTGGGGGAGGGGGTCCGCAAATGAAATTATATAAAATGTTGTCAAATCTGTAACGCCGGAGGCCGATGTAGCGCGATAGGGAGAGTGTGCCACTGGGGGGGGGGGGGGGGGGGTCGGGCATCCCCATAATTCTTTTTTTAAAGTTTCAGTCTTCTGAACTAATCATAATAATTGTTGTAAATAAATAGGAGTTATGGCCTACTATGTAAATTTTGGAGGGGTCCATGTATATTCAGCCCCCCCCCCCCATCCCCCGAAAAACAATTGGGAGGGTCGCCCCCCCCCCCGCCCGGGCCCCACATGTGTGACGCCCATGATAGCAACATCTAGAGGTTGTAAAATTCGCGGTCGTTCCTTCAGGAACATGGGTCTTAAATACAATCCCTTAAACCATTCAGCTGAAGAGACAGTATGCACTGCCTAAGGCCATGTACAGTTTTAACTTGCTGGGTGCATAGCTAAGGATTGCTATTGTTTAAACTTACTATCATTGTAACAGTAGGCCGTTGATTGTTCACGTGTATCACATTCAAGGATCATCTCTGGTTATCTGACACGAGTCCAATTTGTCTTCATCTCCAGTACAATTAACGTCGAATATCCATCTGGGTAGATCGTCTTCCATCGCTATTACACCAGCCTTGGCATGCTGAGCTAAACCTTTACAAACCACCCTAGCTGCATTGTCATCCCAGGGTCGGGGACAAATTGTACCCCAATAGCCATTATAATAGACTTCCACTCGATTGTCGTCACCTATTCGAGTTGTCCCTGCAACTGTGAAATAAAATATGGCATTATAATACATAATCTGACTTTCAAATCTGGTTTCGAACAATTGTTGGACTGGACCCGAATAGAACACAAGTAGTTCGCATTCATGCAGTTGACATTGTGGGGGCAGATGTTGGGGCAAAATGTCCCTCATATCACACTGTATGGCGTATGCCCGTCTTCATTAGCCCAGTCGGTGCAGACAAGTAGCACGTTAAACCCATTTAATTTCTAATATGCCAGTCAAAACGTGTACGCCCTGTCTATACACACACGATGTTTTCAATATAAGACACGTATACTTTCAATATCTAGACACCAAAATAATAATAATAACTAGAACTGCGATACAGTAATGACGGGTTTCACCGGTGCCACATTACCCTTGAACTTATGTCACTTCCGGTGCCAGTTACCCAGCAATATTAATTTCATTTATACATTTGTTACCATGTGTTACATATGTCAAAAAAGTTATCCTTACAAAATTTGTTACTAACTTACCGCTAAGTTAGCTGACTTTTTAATGGGAAATTCCTCGACAAGGGAAGATGCTAGAAACAATTTTTGGACATCTATATGATCGTATTGATCCAATCTATATGTCCATTGGAATCAAATATCATAATGTTAAACGAATGATAAATATAACTCACTTCAAAACAATTTGAAGGCTAATAATACAGTTTTTGGCAAAATTACATTACTTCCGGTGATAATAAAAGTTTTACATTAATTCTATGAAAATATAAATGGCATAAGGCCTCACATGGTGAAAATTTTATGATAATCGAATAATAATTGACACTTTTATAGACCAAAACCTATATCTCTGCAACCGAACAAATGAGAAACCATTTTGTGATATCTGTATGGTCGTATGGGTTTTTGCCCAAATGTCGTCATTTTCAGTGACAGTGAAAATGTTAAATTGGATTGACCTAGTCAAAGGTGGCATGAGGCATCACATGGTAACAAAAATTGAAAATCGAACGATAATTGACTCTTTTACATGCACAATAACGTGAAAAGTGACGCTTGCAAAATTGCCTATTTCTTTGCAATTGCGCATATTACAATCTAATTTTGACATACATTGTCCTCGTATGGATTAATGCTACAAAATTATGAAAGTTGCGTAGAAATAATTTAAAATATGAAGACGATGAATGGGTTGTAAATAGCTGATTTTTACTCCTTTTTTCAACCTTAAATCCAAATGGCGCAAATACAAAACCGATATAAAAAAACCCAAAAAACTAAGCCCGACATATTTTGCGCCTGTAGCAGGAGCAGTCATCTTCATTGATAAGATTTTTAGAAATTAAGATTTTTCCTTAGGAAAAGACCCGTCAAAATTTAAATTTTAGGCAAGATTACGTCATTTCCGGTGCCGACAAAACTTTATAGGTAGAAAATTTGCACCAAGGAGTATATGAGCTTTTGTTTTATACAAATCAGGCAATAAATAATTAATTTATAACCCATAAACTGTAATAAAAATGCGAAACGTCTTAAATAGTGAACCTGGCGAAATTGGTTATTTCTTTGCAAGAGAAGATGCTAGAAGCTATTTTTTGACATATTTATGATCGTATTGATCCAATCTATATTTCCAGTGGAATGAAATATCATAATGGTAAACGAATACTAAATATAACTCACTTCAAACAAATATTTGTTTTGAAGGCTAAAAATACAGTTTTTGCTAAAATGACATTACTTCCGGTGAGAATGAAAATGTTAAATTAGTTTTATGAAATCAGAAATGGCATAAGGCATGAGATGGTGAAAATTTTATGAAAATCGAATAATATTTGACACTGTTATAGACCAAAAACCTTGAAAAGTGACTAGTAGAAAATCGTCTATTTCTCTGAAACCTTACAAGTTAGAACCCATTTTGTGGTATCTATATGGTCGTATGGGTTCATTCTATTTGTTGATTGAAATTAAATATCATACTTTTAAACAAATAACATATACGACTCATTTGAAAAAAAATATCGGTTTTGAAGGCTAAAATTTGGTTTTTGCCAAATGACGTCACTTCCGGTGACAGTAAAGGTGTTAAAATGGTTTAATCTAGCCAAACGTGGCATTCGGCATCAAATGGTGAAAGAAAATTGAAAATTGAATAATAATTGATTCTTGTACATGCAAAATAGCACGAAATGTGACTCATGCAAAATTGCCTATTTCTCGACAACTGCTGATATTACAAACTAATTTTGACATACATTCTCTTTGTATGGGTTATTGCTACGAGGTTATGAAAGTTACGATGAAATATTTTGAAATATGAAGACGGTGGATGGGTTGTAATTTTACACCTTTTTTCACCTTTTAATCGAAATAGCCTGAAAACGAAATCGAAATTAAAAAAACTGACTCCACACGATATTGAGGCAATCAACATGGCAAACTATAAGAAATTTGCTGGACGACCGTGTAAGCAATAAAATCATGTGATAAGTATGGCTAATCCAAGCCTTTAAAAGTATATTCTATATTTAGCAATTAGCTTACTGTCGGACAGCGACACATTTCTTTCAACAAAACAAAGAGGATTTTTCCTTCTCTAAAGTACGTAATTATGAATGTGCTATAGAAACATACTTTCCATTACTGGAATTTCGTATTAGAACCCGTATTTGGACATTTTAAACCCTCTCCACCGCCCCCACACCTTCTCGCTAAATTTTAGTACAGGCTAATTAATCATAGTGCCCAACAAATAATGAATATACATGTAGGCTACATGAACGTGCTTTTCACATGATACCGTATTATGACTCGGGTTTTGACATTGCCCCCGCCCCCGCCCCCGTAATCATGGTAATATGGTTTAGTACCATCTAAATTTGGTCGGGTTTTTTTTTAAAGGTAAGTAAATTTGCTCTGCGTAAGATGCTATGTAGAAAGCATGAAGGACAAATGAGATGCGGCAAAACGCAAATGTAAAATGGAATGGGGGAAATGTAAAATGTAGACACGGCAAAAAAAAGCCTTTTCCAATAAAACATTTGTTATTTGACACATTACATTTGACGTTTTACATTGAACTTGGTCTTAGAGGTATTTTGACTTCATCATTGTCGGTTTTAGGAAATGAAATGAAAATGAAATGAAATGAAATGAAATGGGGTTTAACGTCCTACTGTTCTGCTCCTATACTGGGCTAATGAAGACGGGCATACGCCATACAGTGTGCTATGAGGGAAATTTTGCCCGGGCAGCGGCACTATCGCCTACTCCTACATCGAATTCCAACTGCCAAGGGATCTTTTACGTGCATTCCAATGTATACGCGGGACCTCGGTTTTTCGTCTCATCCGAAGGACTAAACAGCTGTCCTTGCCAGGCCCTCCGGACCATGTACGTTGTACTTTTTACATATAAGTACTCGAAAAGACATTTTAGAAGAGCATTTAATATTGGCAGCGATACCCTTCCATAAATGACAGACTTTATGATACAGCGCACGTCATTCACCCCCCCCCCTCCGCCCTATGGAGAAACAGCAGTATATCTGCTAAGTTTCCTCCCACTGCTAAAGACCCCTAAGCGCAAGCGAATTATTAAAATAAAATTGAACCATATGTTAGTCACAAAATGAGCTAGTCTGTGTCGAGTGGACGTTAAACCCCATTTCCCTCCCTCTTTTTATGTATGGCGTTACTTCAGCACAATGTACAGATTTCAAATTACCTATTATATCACTAAATAGTGTGACACTATCCTGTGTCGCTAAATAGTTGAATTATGAATTACTTCTACTTTGTTATACGGCCCGTGATACTATGGTGATACTATCGTCTAGGACTTCCTTTGACTTCACGCTGTGCATAATATGATCAATTAAGACTGTTAAACACTTTTTACGTTAACTATGTTTTTATAATACAGGAAACTACACACACAGCCATGACATTAAATATAAGTTCTCTTTCCCCAGCTTGTGTGTATTAGATTACGATTAACATCATTCTCTTTACCCCACCATTTACTGACGGTACCCCACGACATCATATGACTCTCCTACGACGTAACGGGGTGGTCTAATTCAAGTGGTGTCTAAATGATGTCCGAATAAAGTTTGTTTCCCAGCCTCTCAGCCTAGGAGGCTGTGAGTATAACGTTCCCCTTGGAACTACGAATGATGTATATTTCAGCCTCTCAATGATATCTGAAGGGACTTCAACCGCGAACGTTCTTTATAAAGAGCTTATGTACGTGAGTCATGTATTGAGCCCCGGGAAATTGACCAGGTACTACCTTTATCAAATTGGTCAGCTGCACATACGCTATCCCGGATTTCAACACAGTGTACTTATATGGGCACCTAGGAGGGCGGCTAACCACGTTTCTAACGCATGGGATTACCATATTTTGATTATCAGACGATGATGTCAGTGCCTGATTTTAAACTACCAGACATATTCTTGTTAGTCTAGTTTTTGTTGTCACTGGTACTAGCTAACGACTTCAATACATTAACAAGAACATTTTACAGATAAATAAACTCTGTATATAGGCCCTATAGTATTATAATAGCCACAGCTGTCTCTGGAGAAAATACGTTACTTCACCACAATATACAGGTTTCATTATGGGGCTACCTCACCACATTGTACAGATTTCAAACTACTCTTCCATCTTTATTAGCCCTGTAGGAGTAGAACAGTAGAACGTTAAACCCCATTTCATTTCACTATCCTACCATTATATCAATAAATACCATAGAGATAACCTACAGGCGTCTCTAGAGAAAATGGATATTCAATGTCCCAGTGTTCCATGTTTCGCCAGATTTTAATTTAATACCATATATATTTTAGCAACGAAGTAATTAAAAATATTTATACAATATGCACACGGTACATATGTCACTAATATAGTAATATGATATAACATAAAATATAAAATAACTATATTATACCATATACTATGATTTATTTTAGATTAAGAAAGAAAGTGAAGAAACCATAGCAGATATAAAATAAAATACATAACTAAAATACAGAGTTGTTCACTACTTGGCTTTTTGGTTTAGCTTTGCTATGAGTCCATCCCCGGACTGATTATTTCTGTATTCGTTGCCCTCTTGGCATTGATTATTTCTGTCTTCGTTGCCCTTGTAGTGAAACGAAGCAGCGACGTTGTGAGATTACTACGAATGGTCGAAGAAAGGGTAAGTATCGGCTTCCCTCACGGGGGTGGGGGGTAATTCCAAATGGAAAACGTCGCGCAACGTTAACCCTGGATAGAGTTCAGCCTCTTGTGCCCCAATCGATGCCCAGGACTGTGGGTATACACCCCTAGAAACGCCAACTCTCATTGATTAATCAATGTCTGACGTCATCGGGTCAAACGCAGCTCGTATGACCCCTGAAACGACCTCCCACTACAACTGGTCAGATATCCATGTAGTGTAGGTCATCTAAAGTAAAACAAAAACTAAACGAAATATAGACCTGTATTTTAATCAGATTGCTCGTGTCCACAAGGGGAGGGAGGAGTGTAACTCAGGAACGGAAAGTCGCGAAAACTGATAATAGTTCTTATCTGCGCATGACATAAATGCTTCCCACAATATCCATTGAAACCTACAGATGGTGTTTGGAAAAGAGAGATAACTAGCGTGATTACCATGCTTCACACCCAATTTGAAAGGAATCTGTCAAAGACTGTAGCCAATTGTTGACAGGCGGACCGAACAACGAACAGGGGCGATAACCATTTATTGTCTAATCGACTAAGACTAGTAATTATTTCCCCTTATTTCATGATGGATGAATCTAGTGCGAGTTATAAATAGACAATTTTTCCCTTAATTTTTTTCTCCCCTCTTCCTGCATTTAGTGGGTTAACTTTTTGGTCTAGAATTGGAGAAAAAGGAATAAATTTGCAATTTCATGGCAGTTTTGGGTAATACTGATGATATTACAGCGGAGGGATAGGGGGTGTAAAGTGTCCTTCTGCAGAGCAATCATTGTGTCGGAAATGAGATTTTCACCCCAGTGAACATCAAATCCGTGTAGCAAAAAATCTAAACGGTCAACCCCCTACAAAATTATTATGAGGAGATTGCCAAATGTTGTTCCCGTTGTGCCTACAAAGATTGGAACCAACGGAATGTTGAGCAAAAAGCTACAGCCTGTGATGTTACAGCCATTTAACATTGAAGTCAATGGGCAAATAATTGCTAGTCTGAAACCTAATCATAGCATATGGCCTTATCATGTTAGTTCAAACCAAACAGAAATAGCTATTCAAAATCTGAAAACAGAATTGTGTGCAATAAAACCGACAATTTTATTGGAAAGTTTAAATAAAGAGCATCAAAGAGATGACACCATGGGGTTGTGTTTTAAATTTTAGCACACACTATTTTGTGAAGGTAATACATGTCTCACAGATAGTAGATAAAATACAATTTACCTGAAATTTAAAACTCTGTCAAACTTTTCCAAATGGGAATCAGAAATAAACATTGTCTTTCCTTTAGGGGTTTCTTCCAATTTCCCAAATTAAAAACCAAATATCTATTAAGCCATCACACTAAAACATATAGGAGATCAAAATTAGTATTAGTTATCAAAGCATAGCAATGTTTCTAGTTAGGTCTAAATGCCGAATAAAATGGGATTTAACACCGTACTTTTCTGCTCCGAACTGGGCTAATGAAGATGGGCATACGCCATACAGTGTGCTGTGTGGGAAATTTTGCCCGGACAGCGGCATTACGCTCTACTCTTATGTCGAATTCCAACTGCCAAGGGATGTGTTACGTGAACGCTAATGTATACACGGGACCTCGGTTTTTCATACAATCCGAACGACCAGACAGCTGTCCTTGTCAGGCCATCCGCCCTGCATGACTGACAAGGGGAACCACGCCGGAAAATTTTGATTAACATTCTCGGCCAATGCAGGGATCGAACACCCGGCCTCCAGGCTAGCGAGCCAGCGTCTTACCCACTTAGCCACAGTGACCCCCCCCCCTCGTCTAAATGAGACACTTCATAGTCCCCAAAAGTAAAGACATATTTACCTTTCCATGATTTTGGTTCCCAACTAGATACGCTAATCAATCGTAATGGACATAGAAATGGTTTAGGAAAAATGTTGCAATTCAGTTAACTGGTAATCTGAAAAAATGCCGAATGCTTTCAATAATAAATCTTGTTAGAGAGTTCACAACACAAGATTCACAAAATACTACACAGTGAGCGTAAACAAAGTGATAATTGGGTGACTCTTCAAATTAACCAAACCATTCCCGAAATTCTGACCTGTAGGGTTGTTTATGAAGTATACTATACGGTGACAACCATTAAGTTGCAAAAGTTACACATAATTAGAAAGTATAAAGAAATTACTTGAAACTGATTTCTCAAAGTCTTTTGGGGGGTCATTTCACTTCTGCTGAAGTCTTTACAAATAGTTCGATTTTTTCAACTTATACATCAACCATCAATTCATTCTTGTGTCTCATCGTTGCTTAAGGAGCTGTATTTTTCTCCAAATCTCCTCCTAATAAATATAAATAAATCATAATATTTAACAAGCCAACAGTGAGGTTAATTGCACATTTGTATTTTTAAAAAGTATCGAGAAATCAAACTGTTTATCTACGCTTAGTCTAAGCATAAAATGTTCACTATCAAACTCAGGTTTTGGAGTACCTGTTAGTGAGTGAACCTATACACTAAGTTTCATCACTCTTTATCAGTTAGAATCAAAGTTATCTGGTCTCAAAGCATCGACCAAAGAAATTACTTCGCTCTGCTTCGCCCTAACGGGAAATATTAATCATTGAACACACTCAAGACATCCACTTAATGAACATCGATACCTCAATTAAAAGTAGAATTGTTATGTTCCAAAGTCTTGACCAATCAAATTGCTTATAGCTTTGCTTACCCTGAGCCGAAATACTCTCATAGCTACTGCCATGTACACTAACATAGTTAAAATATCTCATTGGTCAACCTTCACTTCACTACACAAAATTCCCATTCAGAATTAGACCGAAGGCCTTATCTGCATGTTTAGCCCTACAGTTTACTAAAACTGTCTTAAGATGCACCCATGTCCTTGTACATTGTAAATTGTCCCGAACTGGAATTGCCCGATCTTTTTCTGGTCAGTTTAAACATTCCCGAATTTATTTTTAGCTTGAGAAAATTCTTAAGTAAATTGCCTTTATTGCCTTATTTCCTTCTGATAGTCCATTCAGAACCCTATATTCGTACTAGTTCAAAATTGCAGGGGATTTTAGTGTTACATTCACGCATACTATACTAATGTCCAGAAGAAAGTATACACTGTGCATTTTGTGCTGCATCAACAAAATTCGTTTTTCCATGGTATACGGTATTTGGGTAGAAAGTCAATTTGTTTCACATTTTTATTTTGCTTAGAAATGTTGAGTTTGGACGCAAGAAACAAACTCAGTAATTCTTTTTCAAATGTGTTTAATCTAAACAAAATTTAGTCATTCTTTTAGTGACTTTCTTTTGGACATCAGTATATAAGCCACATCGTCGGTTACAGATTAGAGTTAATTACACATGGGCACATATCGCCATTTTGCCAGGAATATAACTGTGCATGCCTAATGAGAGCTGGAGCTGATTTTAAGACGGGTACACGTTCGTTTTTTTAAACTGGTTTATTTGTTCCGCCTTTGCGTTGAAATGATATTCAATCCTGTTCAATGTCAACGTCTGAACGTGCAATAATATAAAGGGAATACCTTTGTGCCCTGCTAAATTTGTACTGATATTCTATACTCTTAATAATTTGGTGCAGTAATATTAAGCTTAGCTTTTTCTATGGAAAGAATCTGGGTGGCAGTTAATTTGTTTACAAATTAAATCTGCAAAATTAACATAGAAGTTATCTTTCTTTTACTTATTAATGAAGTTATTGGGTCCGTGGACTGCTTTTCTTTTTTATATATAAGGTAAGCTTATGTAGCAGCCAGTCTCCTCCCTTCGTTTGATTGTCTGTTTCCCATCCGGCCATGTCTAGAAAGGCACAAAAGTAGGCTACATGAAATAGATATAAAGACTGATTGGACAATTTATACTAAGGAAAAGAAATGGGGTTTAATGTCATACTTTCTGCATTTAATCCCACTAGTTTAGGAAACAACAAAAAGATTCTTCGGAATTAAATTCCAAATGGGTTTGTACGGGCTAATGAAGACGGAAATGAAATGAAATAAAATGGGGTTTAACGTCCAACTGTTCTGGGCTAATGAAGACGGACACACACCATGCAGACAGCGATGCTATGGTCTACTCTTATATCGCACTCCAACTGCCAAGGGATCTTTTACGTGCATGCCAATGTGTACACAGGACCTCGGTTGTTTGTCCCATCCAAAAGACTAGGCAGCTGTCCAACCAAGCCGATGGACATCCAACGTGCAGTGTACTAGTACATGTATGAAGAATTTTTGCCTCCACTGTTATTTCAAATTCCAACTGTAAATGGTTCTTTTAGTTACCGGTACGTGCATGCCAACGTGTACGGGGGGACTTGGCTTATCGTACCATCTGAATGACTAGTTCCTGTCAGAACTGTATCTCTCGGACAAATTCCTTGACCATTCCTGTTCGTCCATATGAAGCTTCAATAAGAAAATACTGAGCCTATCCTACCTCAGTTTTGGATTCCTTGTCTTTTATTATTCACCGTAATTCTCACTACATCTGACACAAGTTTATAATAATACAACAGGCCCTACTATTTTTAAATAGAACTTTGCGATTCAAAATACATGAAAATAGCGATGGATTATTGTCAATATATATTATTATATGTCAAATGTGGTGGGAAATGATTCCTTCTGGCCAACAAAAAAGTACCGTAGGGCGATAATAGAAGGAAAGAACTTCAAAATAGCCTTAGAACAGGGGTTGTACGTAATGGCTAAAAGAGTTTTATTTTCATATTGCAGCCTAATAAGGCTGGACAGGAATTGACAGAAGATTTCGTCCGTGAGAGACCGTATTGAAAGGAACTACTGAATGACTAGAGCAGACACTGTTCCTTGCCAGGCTCTGTTTCCTGCACCACTGACAAGGAGAAACGACGCTGGAAAATGTACGGGAGCTTCACTGGGCCAAGTTGGCCAACACCAGGATCAACCCTCTGATCCCCTGTTACTGTAACTAAAAGTGAGCCTGCACCCAGAATCAGCGAGCCACTACTAGTATTTATACTAAAGCCGCAATAGTTAATAACATATCTTTATCTTTTTGCTTTCCTCTTGTTTACATTTTCATTCTATTTTGTAAAAATCGAGAAATTATGATATCCAAATGTTGCTTCACCTTCTTCTTTTTTTCAGTAAGGGCATTTCTTCAACAAAATTGAATAATAATGTTGTAACATGAACTCATAAATTGGTCTAGTCTTCTATTAGTTCTAATCGCATCTGGCTGTGAAAGGAAGTAGGCTATGTTAAAGGAGCTAAATCGCTAATATTTGGGACCTAGAAATTGACCCAAATGAGTCGCAACACATATAATAATATAATCTGAATGTATATAAACTGTTTACATTCAATTGTTTCCGGTTTGACTCAATTTCAAATCAGTTATGTCCAGCGAAATACGGCATGAGTCTCAGCCGAATAGCAATTTCTGGCGTCTGATTATTCCTGTCTATTGCGCATGCTCTCCAGATAAGATATGGCGTCACCGTTTGACATGAGTTGTGGAATATGTCTAGCCTCGTTCGTTCTGATCACTTGTTACAAATGACGCTGAAACGCACTATGGTACCCCAATGGTAAAATGTTTCTTTTGTCTTAAATATTCGATATCAGAAGCCTGTCTTTTTCTGGTAAGATCACAAAATCAATGTTGATTTGAATTGACAAATAATTCATATTTTCAACGTGTAAGACTTTGGATGATATTGAGTTAGAGATTTAGCTACATTAATGTAGGCCTATGGCAAAATTTAATAAAGTATTATGAAATACTTACTGGTTTGGGTCTTTAAAAAAAATACCGACATAGGTCGGGGAATCAATCAACATGTTCTTTGACTTCATAAAAGCATAGAGGTTAGACGATGTCGATATGCGCGGGGTTTTTTTTTTTGGGGGGGGGGGAGTTTGTTTTGCTTTTTTTTTTTTTTGCTTTTGGTTTTTTTTTCAGTCAACCCGATCGATCCAATTTCAAAACTTTCAGCCTCATCATTATTCCGTGAGACGATAAATTTATCCAACGATATAAACAAATTAATCTCAGAATGTCTGATATTGTGTTGACGAGACATTCGACCCATTTCACCTTTTCTTCTGCAAATAAGATAATCCTATACAGTTTGGGTTTTTTTTCTTAAATTTATATAATTATTAAATCGGTACCTAACAGAATACATGAGATTCTGAAAGTGAATTATTCAGGTAAACGCAGCGCATAAATCGGTACCTAACAGAATACATGAGATTCTGAAAGTGAATTATTCAGGTAAACGCAGCGCATAACCAGGTCACTGCTCGTAATGGAACCATATCGCAAAATAGTTTCAGTTGTTGACGGGATTAAAGATAATAATTAATTGCGTGACATAATAAATTGACTTAGCTGCGTTCGATATAAATATCTGACAAGATGAAGTCTCTGTTAGAGTCATTTCTCTCTCGCTCCCCCTCTAGGGAAACTGCAGTACTCACTCCTGAGTTCATGGTCATTAATGTTACTTCAGCAGAGAGAGAAAGGGGGAGTAACGTCCACTCGACACAAACTAGGTAATTTCGAAACTAACATGTGGTTCAATTTTATTTCAATAATTCGCTTGCGCGTACGGTACGGGTCTTTGGCTGTGGGAGAAAATCGGGGGACCCGGAGAAAACACACGAGACTGGGAATCGAAACCACGCCACTTGACTCAATAACAAACCTAATGGTACAACGCGCACGCGTTAACCATTTGGTAGCCCAACCCCCAATTTACTTCAGCAGACTGTAGTATAAGTTTCAAACTTCCCTACCAGTGTATCAGTAGTGTTATTTCACCACAATGTTTAAGTTTTAAACTACCCTACCACTATATCAGACATCAATAGTGTTATTTCACCACAATGTTTAAGTTTCAAACTACCCTACCACTATATCAGTAAATACTATAGAGATAACCCAAATGCATATTCAGTTTCTGGTTTTATTAGAGAAAGATACAATCAGATACCATTCTGGTATAGTGTTCCATTGTTTCGCCTGATTTTAATCTAATGCCATATATAGTTTATCACCGGAAAGACACAAATATTTATACAATATGCATACTGTACAATAATACATATGCCTAGCATATACATATCTAAATATATATCATTCTTTGATGTTGGCGGAGCATTATTTCAAATAATGCTACGGGCAATGTGGCAAACATACATTATCATAAAGCATGAAATAAAATATAAAATACTATTTAAAAAAAAAATACTTTAAAATACAAAATGAATATAAAATAATGCTACGGGCAATGTGGCAAACATACATTATCATAAAGCATGAAATAAAATATAAAATACTATTTAAAAAAAATACTTTAAAATACAAAATGAATATAAAATAAAAAAGAAATATAATAGTTATTAATTATAACTGATTTAATTTAGATTAAGAAAGAAGACGAAGAAACAATAGCAGACATGAAATAAAATACATGATAAAAATACAGAGTTGTTCATTTCTTGGCTATGAGTCCATAGCACTGTTAACTCATGGCGAAGCGAAGCAGCGACGCTACGTGATGAGGAAATGAAATGGGGTTTAACGTCTTACTGTTCTGCTCCTACTAGGCTATTGAAAACGAGCATACGCCATACAGTGTGCTATGAGGGAAACTTTGCCCGGGCAACGGCACTGTGGCCTACTCTTATACCGAATTCCAACTGCCAAGGGATCTTTTACGTGCACGGTTTTCCGTGCCATCCGAACGACTAGACAGATGTACCTATCAGGCCATCCGCCCTGCACTACTGACTACGAGATTAGGACAGTCGCGACTTTGGGTCTTTCTCTTCGCACTTGGGTAAAACGAAGACAATAATTGGCGAAGAAGGGGTAACTATCGGCTTCAGTTATCTAGGATGCAATGAATGTAGTTCTGATTAAAGCAGCGGCTGCTAAATAAGGTCCGGGTCGAAGGAACCCGCTGACAAGGGCTCTGGCAACTTTGTGAATGATATCACTAGAACAGAACGCAGAATATCAATAGGATTCATCATCTCGTGAGTCTAATGCTTCAAACCAAATCTGAAAAGAATCCGTTAAAACATTGTAGACTCTATCGCGTTCTTAAGGTTTTCAGCCAAGGTGTATAACTCTGGTATCACGACGTCAAATGGGTCCACGTGGCTCCACCGGGAAAAGTGGTAAAATATTGAGAATGAAATTGTTGTTATTTGGACATTAAATTTCAGTAGCTGATATGAGGGTCACATTGATCGGCATGTGATGAGTGAATTGATGTAACACGTTTTGTTATTGG